GCTCGATGCCCGCCACGGGAAGCGCCGGATCAGCCCCCCGCCCCGGCTGCCAGCGCTCGCATCCCTCTCTGCCTCCTTCCCAACACTGGAAGTCAGGTCCTCCTTCCCTCTCCTGAACAGCTGCCTGAACCCCCCGGGGGCCGCCGAGGAGCCCCACTGGGTGCTGGGGGTCACCTCACTTTCCCGCCTCCACCAGCTGTTGGAGGAGAGCCCCTTCCTTTCCCCTGCCGTGTCCCAGGGATCCCGGGAGCTCTGGCCCCCGGCTCCCGCTGTGCCCCAAAGGCTCCTGGACTTCAGGCCCCCGCTCTCCTCGCTGGGAAGGGGTTTGGAGCCGAGCCCCCCGCTCCTGCCAGCCGAGGAGCCCCAGTAGGGCGTGGAGCTCAGCCCCCCGACCCCATCCGGGGGCTGCCCCGAGCCAGCCCTGAAGCCGAGCCCCCCGCCCCTTTCTGCTGACGGGCTCCACTGGGATGAGGAGCTGGACCCCCGAAACCTGTCCAGGGTGGGTCTCAGCCCGGTGCTGAGCCCCCCGCTCCTCTCTGCTGACGTGCCCCACTGCAGCGAGGAGCCCCGCACCCCATCCAGGGTGGCCCCCGGCCCCGTGCTGAGCCCCCGGCTCCTCTCTGCGTTCGTGCCCCAGTGGGACGAGGGGCCGAGCCCCCCGGGCCCGTCCAGGGCCGGGTGAGACCCCCCCCCGAGCCCCCCGCTCCTCTCTATGGACGTGTCCCACTGGGAATGGGAGCTCAGCCCCCCGGGCCCGGCCAGGGACGCCCCCAGCTCGCCCCCCCCTCTCTCCACAGCCGTTCCCCAGCGCTCCGAGGGGCTCAGCCCCCCGAGGCTGTCCCGGGACAGGCCGCTCTCAGCCCTGACGCCCCCGCCCCTGCCGGGCGGGGACCCGCGTGGATCCCCCCAGGCCTGGCCGCCGCCCTCCCCGGACGTCCCCCAGCGGGACGCAGGCGCCTGCCCCCCTTCCTCCTCCTCCTCTTCTTCCTCCTCCCCCCCCTCCTCCTCCTCCTCGCTATCCCGGGTGAAGCCGGAGCGCTGCCGCGAGGGCGAGGCCTGCGGGGGCCCAGCGGGGGAGCGGCCCGGGCTAGGCGGCGCGGCGCGGCCGCTGCGCCGGGCGGCCGCCACCTCGGCCCGCAGGCAGCCCAGCTTCTTGACGTAGACCTTGCGGGTGGTGGCGGTGATGGGCCCCGGGCGGTAGCCGAGCGCCAGCAGCTCCCTGCGGAGCTCCGCGTCCGTCAGCTCCGCCATGGCCGCGCCAGGCCCCGCCGGAAGCGCCCCGCGGGCGGGAAGCGCCGCCGCCATCTTGGGAGGGGCCCTGCGCGCCCCGGCGCCGCCATCTTGGGAAGGTCTGAGGAGGGAGGCAGGGCGGGCGCCATGTCGGGGAGGTCGCTCCCTGAGGGAGCGGAGGGGTCGGGCGGCGGGGGCTGCTGCTCCCCTCGGGACAGGGGAAAAGGGGCGAGAAATGGAGCAGAAGCAGCCTCAGAGTTGGGGTCGGCCTGTGTGTCACTGCCCGCGACAGTGATGGGCTGTCCCCCCTCGAGCAGTTCCCACCTCACCCCGACATAGCCACACTGATGTTATGACGCTTTTAGGGCCGTTCTCCCCAAAAATATGTCTTTCCCAGCCCCACACAGATTGCCCTCAGCGCTGGCAGGTCACTGCGGCTGGAGCCCAGGCAGCACCTTCTGGGGGATCAGGGCCGGAGCCCAGGGATGTTTCCCCACAAGGAGAATCCCCGCACACTCCACAGCACAAAACCGCAAAACCAAGCTCCGGCTTGTAAATTTGTTTTGGCATGGCAATGATGTGCAGTAATTGCTTTTCCCTGCTCCCGCCTCAAAGTAATGACAGTGGCTGAAATACTGTGGTGTAATATCGGAATTTAATTAAAAATAACAAGAAAGCAGTGAGGAATGCACGGCTGGATGTGTGCCGCTGGTTTTGGGATCGAGGTGTGATACCAGCGTGGGGGACAGGCTGTGGTCCCTCGGGAGTGGGACCCACGGGGAGTGGGATGCTCGGGGGGATGCTCGGCCTGGAACACACCATGAGATGGGAAGAGCCGAGCTGTGCATTCCTGACGTGAATCCCAGAATCACTGAGGGTGGAAAAGACCTCCAAGGCCGCTGAGTCCACCCTGTGCCTGATCCCCACCTTGTCCCCCAGCCCAGAGCACTGAGTGCCACGTCCAGTCATTACCTGGACACCTCCAGGGGTGGGGACTCCACCACCTCCCTGGGAGCCCCTTCCAATGCCTGACATCCCTTTCCAGGACGAAATTCTTCCTCATGTCCAACCTGACCCTTTCCTGATACAGCTTGAGGCCATGTCCTTTCATCCTGTCGCTAATGCTTCTATCAGGACCCTCCTCCTTGTTCAGGGCTCCAAAGTTCGCCTTACTCTCCCCATTTTATCCAGGAAAGCAGCAACAAGATGCTGAGATTTGTTCATCTGGTTGGCAACAGGAAATATATCCTCAGTAGAGGCCAGGGAGCCCATTAAAAGAGCAAACTCAGCTCTACTGGGAAGTGTGAACACACTAAGCTGAGCCTCCCCTGCGCTCAACAGCAAAGCACCATTGACAGCTCATAATGTGGAGCGGGGTCTAATGTAAATAAAGAATTAGAATATTACACAGATTCTGTGAGCTCACAGCTCTCGCTTTGGAGAAGCTCTGCCCAGACATGCAGACGAGTGCTGGCATCCATGGGAGCATCCCTGGAAGGTACCTGGAAGGCTGCCATGGGGAAGGCAGCAGGAGCAGAGAGGGCTCCTCCTCTCAGCCCATGGGCACATGGGCAATCCTTGTTCCTGTGCCCCTGCCCACAGTGCCGACCATGAGGCTGGCAGTGGCTTTCCTGTTTCTGCAGCCCCCTCCCCATCCTGGCGGCTCCGGGAGCAGCAGGGGCTGCCAGGAGCCTCAGCGATGCTCAGCTGTGGAAAGGCAGTTTCCCAGCCCCCGGAGCAGCTCTCAAATCTTTTGGCTGTAAATATCCTGGGAAGCTGGGACAGCGAGGAGGGGGCATCCTCCACCTTCCCTGCGAGCCCAGAAGCTGCCTCAGACCTGCTGGCACTGACTCAGATGCCAACTGGGAAGAGCAGCCATGTGGCACCGTCTGCTCCTCCTCTGGAAGCATCGCGACAGGACCGGTGTGAGCAGAGGGATAGAAATAGATCTGCACCGTGTTCACACAGCCTGGAGAGGGGAGCGGCTGCACCCCAAACCCCACGGGCAGCAGCTGAACCCTTCCTCTGCTGACTGATGGGCTGCTGAAACCCCGCCGTCCCCCCCTCATCCGTGGCATTTGGGTGACAGTCCCGCATATGTCACTAGGGAAGTGTCAAGTCTCACTTGGGAGCCAACTGTGCCGATTTATCACCCTGTCACTCACAGCAGTGGCACAGGTGTGACCCAAGAGCCCCATCCTTGCCCTGCTGAGCTGCTTATTGCATTAGAAAGTCAGAGGTGACTCCATTCCCTCTCCTCTTTCCACCAACTGTTGGGCTGCTTATCCCACCACAAAACTCTGGTTTCTGGAGCAGCAAATTCTTCCTACCTGCCTGCAGGTGAGCCTGGGTGCTGCTGCTGCCAAAGGGCACAGGGATAGCCATCTGTCCTGCAACCTGGAGAACATTTCCTTCTTAACCAGAGCTCCCCTGACAACAGGAGTTGTGCCTGGGGCGATGGTTGGGGTCCATCCATCTTGTCCTTCCAGCAGTCTGTGTCTAAGAGCAGAGGGAGAGATCCCTGCAGGGTCACAGTGGTGAATCTCCCTGTGGAAATCTCCACAGCGTCAGCCTCACCATCACCCTGGTGGGAAATGGTCCAGGAAGCAAATCCAAGAGGCTCATGTTCACTTTCCTTCCTGCCGTCACTGGAAAACTTTCCTTCCTGGATGGCACAGGGGAGCTGTCAGTCTGGAAGATGTGGGAGTGGAGGAGCTGGGCAAAGGGCACACTGCAGGGACAGCTCTGACCCACAGCAGAGCTTACAGAGGGGGTTTAGGAGCAGTTTTCCCCTCAGGGGGAAATTCTCCTTGTTTTCCTGTGGCAGGGTAAAATCACACCTGGAGTAAAGGTTTGGGTCTCTCTGGTCCCCTCTGAAGCAAACAGTCTGTCTCTGCTGTTGCTGGACACCAGGGTAAATGTGGTGCAGCACCTCCAGTGATTTCCATGCTGGCTCTTCCATGGATACCACTGCACTGCAGACTGAGCTCCTATAGCCCAATAGCCCAGGCTGCTCTCACTTCCAGCCTAATGGAATGTATTATTTCCCATCTTCCTCCCCCTCAGAGTCATTATAGTGATTTCACAGCTCACCCTGTCTCAGCAGCAAACCCTGAAAAGCAGGAGCCACCTGGAGCTGCTCAGTCCATGGACAAGGAGTGTGCCTTTGGATCAAACATGAGAGCTGTAATCCACGCCGTGCATGTTCCATTATGCACTGGGAGATTTCTCCTCTCCCGAGGGCTGGTTATGGCAGAACACGCCGAGGGGTGTTGTTCCAGCACAAACAGAGCTATTGGAATGAGCTCAGCGAGAGCAGAACTCGTGGTGGGTTGGGAGGGTAAAATTGGACTGGAATTAGATATATGCACGTACAAACCATTGATCTCATCCATCCTTACTTTACATATGTTGGATTTCCTGCTGCCATCATAGAGGAGCAGCTCTAAAATTAGCCAGAGGTATGGAAATGGAGAGCAGGATGTTCAAGTGGAATTACAATTTCACCTCCAGGTGTGTTTGAGAGGCAGCAATAAGGGCAGAGCCCTGTATCATTCCCATGTGCTGCGCCTGGCACAGCCATGGCACACAAATTCCTCACAGTGCTGCTCAGATTCCTATCGCAGGGGGGATGTCAGGGGTTTGAGCACAGGTAGGAGCTGCAGATCAGGATGGGGATGTTCTCTAGAACCCAGAGCCCTCCCTCTCTCCTTTCCCACACATCTCCATCTGGCTGAGAAGCACGAAGGATTGAAGGCACAAATCCTCCGTTTAATTATGCTGCGCATTTTATTATCTCACCTCAGATTTTGTTGTTAATCTCTTACAGATTTCGTTTACATAAGTGGAGTCTTTCAGATTTAGCAGCTCCAGCGCTTTCTTTTCTGATTCTGCAGATATCAGTCAGCTAAAAAGAAAAGAGAAAAGCACAAGTGTCCTTAAATTTGTCATTCAGTCTTTCAGGGCTTTCTATATTGTTTCCCACTCCTCAGCTCCTAAAGTGAAAGTTCAAAAGCAAACTGAAACCAGCACAGGCAGAACAACCCTCACTGGGACAGCAGGATCCTCTTACCTGGGCTTAAATGTCCCAAACAAGGCCAAGGTGTGGATGTGACTGTGGGGAGATCCACTCCACCATCCCTTAATCTGCAGGCAGGAAGAGCTGCACAGCAGACTGCCCCTGGATATTTTATTTGTTGCAATTCCCACACGCCGAGCCCAAAGGAAAAGGAGGATTTGCAGCAAATTCGGGTGTAATTAAGTGTTAGTGTTACGCCCCCATGCAGGGAGCTGCTGTTCGAGCTGGCTGCAGGTGCTGAGCTGCCTCGCAGGTGCAGCTGGAGTTATGAGCTCTCCTGGAAATTGCTCCCTGAAGACTGAGGACTTTTTGGGAGGAGGAGTAGGGAAGTGGCAAACAGCACCGAGGAGAGCTGCTGGGACGGGCTGTGCTGCCGCTGACAGGCAATATCAGCTCTAGGGCACAAGCAGCACCTTGTGAAGAAATAACCTTCCCAGAAAGGAGTGGTTGGGATCTGAGGGCTCTGTAAAGTGAGCAAACACGACACAAAAGCCCTTCTGGGGAATATAAATATCTCAGTGCTGATGAGCTGGTGAGGGGAGGCAAAGGCAGAATTGCCAAGGCAGAAATCAGCCTCCTGACAGTACCGTCTGGGGTGTCCTGTAACAGCTCTGCCAGCAGTTTCTCCAGGGCATCTTGGTATTTTTCCAGCTGCCTTGGGGTGAGCCACATCCCAGGTCTGACAGGAACAGCCTGCTGTGGAGAGAGCCAGAGAAATCAGAAGGAAAAGCTGAGGAGAGCAGGGGGAGGCAGGTTGGGAACAGCCAAGCTCCCTGCAGGAGTGGCTGCATGGACAGGCAAAGAGTTCCCTGTGTTCAGGTGGAAAAGCACAATTTTCAGACTTGGTTAACCAGGCAAACATGTCTTTGAGGGCTTAGCCTGGCACTTAAATCCCTAAAATTGTCCATTTTCTGCTCTGTATACAGACCTTGGGGAGTGCAGCTGTATGGGCCCAAGTTTATAAGTAAGGTCTTGCCAGTGCAGAGAACTGTGGGATCAGAGGTGACACCTGGAGCTGGGTGAAAAGGTGACAAGTTAACCCCAGAGCTGAGGCAGAGCTGGGAATTCCTGCCATGGCAAAGGCAAACCTCATGGTTCCATTTTCCTAAGGGAGAAGCCAGGTGGGTCTCAGGGGTGACCTGGCTGCTCAGTGTCCAAGATCATATATAGGGTATATTTAGGGTTTATTAGGCTTTATTATATAAAGGTAAACCGTTTCTCTGGTGCAACCTGGTAGGGCTGGCAGAGGACACCTCTTGGGCTCCCTGTGTGTCCTCGTGGGCTCCTCAGAGTGAGATGGCTCAGCATACCTGGATGGACTTGCCCGTGCTGACACCCACAGGGGATTGCTCAGGGAAGCCTTCCTCGTCCAGCTGCTGCAGTGAGCTCAGGGATTTCTTCTGCCCTCCCTTGTTCCTCTCCTTTTCCTGCAGCTTCAGAGCAGAGAGCAAATGGCACAGATAGTGATGCTGGGACATGATGTCCTGAGGGTCCCAAGCCCACTCTGCACCACAGCAGCAGCGTGATGCCCAGCAGCCAGGAATCCTCAGTGCTGGGCACGGAACCAGGGCCACAGGAGGTGTCAGCACTGCCTGCAGCCACTGTGGAATCCTCCCCAGCGTGGCCCTGGGGACTGAAACACTGCCATGCAGCAGAGGCTGCATGCTGGGGGCAAGGTCAGGTTACAGGATGGAGGGGGAAGGTCTGTAGTAAACAGGACACACGTGCCAGGGTTGATCAGTGCAAGGTAACACCGTCAGCAGGACGTGGCAGCTGAGGTCACTGACCTTACTGAGCTGGCCCAGAGACCTGGCCCTGGTTCTGCTCTGTGGCACTGGCAAGGCAGTTTAACTGAGCCCTGCCCAGGCTCATGGCACGTGCAGAGCTCTGTGCAGGGGCTGTGTGTTACCAGCCTTCCTGCAGGTCTGGGATGTCAGGCTCTTAACCATTCACGGGGCTAAACTTGGCTGCAGGACCCTCCCTTTATTGCCAGCACAAAGGGAAAAGCCAGAGATGCTTTGGAATGTGACAGACACATGCTCAGAGGAGCAGGGGCAGCGTTTGGGGGGCAGATTTCACCCACATACGTTCAGAAGCCCCTCAGTCCCTGGCAGACACTGAGCTGCAAGGGCTGTGATATATGAACAGTCAGCCTGGTGTGTGGGTCCCCACCATCCTCCCCGAGGACACTGAGGGATGACTGTGCTCCCCACAGGAAGAATTGCCCTCCAGTGAGTGGATGGGTGTTGGAAATGGGAATTTCTCCCGACACCAATGGGCTCTGCGGTGCGGGGGAAGCTCGCTTGGGCTATGTTTCAGAAGATGCAGTTCTCTCAGCCTGCCTGACACTTCTCAACAGTATTAGTTTCACATCAAAAGAAAAAACGTTCTCTCTGCACGTCCCAGAGGTGACAACCATCCGGAGGATGGTTAATTATTTGTTACAACAAAAGACCCGTCACTGTAGTGATGGGAGGCTGCAGCTTCTCCGTAGAAATTACAGCCACTAGCACAGAGGAAGGAAAAATGAGCCCATGGGCTGCAGGTGATAACCCACACAGGTCTGGCAGACCTCGTGGAGAGGACTCCAGGCTCTTCCTTTCTGGTCTCACACCTTAAGGATTGTCTGTGCCCTCCCCCATTGCCCTGAACTCTGGGAGGAGTGTGGGATGGGCTGGGTCACAGTGTCTCCAGTTAAACAGAGGGGCAGGTGATGGGCTGGCAGTGGCACAGTGTGCACTGCAGAGCCTGGGGGGTGAGGGCAGAAGAAACACCTTTCCTGGATCGTTCAACACATTTTGGAGGGTTACCTGCATTTTCTGGAAGTCACTGTGGGTGAAGAAGGGCATGAAGCCTTCGGCCTGTTCAGCCAGCAGAGACACCAGGTACAACAGGAGCAGACTGGCAACCACCTTCCTTGAAACCATTCTGAGAGCCTGAACAACACAGGAGAGGAGACAGCAGGCTAAGTGTGGACAGGGACATTGGACCACAACTCCCCTTGGCCTTGACTCAGCTGCAATCGAACTGCTGCCCCAGCTAACCAGAGGTATATTTACTCTTCCAGTTGCTCCTGAGCTGAGAATAGAAGTGTCTTGACTGACAATTCTCTTCTCCAAGCTGTTTATGTAAACAGGTTTGTTCTTGAGCACCATCTCCAGGGACATCAAGCCCAACCCTTCAGTTCTGCTCCAGCCTCCCTCCATCCACAGCCCTCCAGCTCTGTTGGTGTAAGACTCTCACACAGCCAGAGCAAAACACTCCCCTCAGTCCCACTGCCAGCACGGGAGACCAGCATGCTGTGAGAGAGAAAAACCATGACAGCTGTTTTGTTAATTTGGTTTTGCTGTTCCTCACCCCTGGAAGCCCTGGTGGACTGGATCTTTTAAGAAGCCTCATTGGGTCTGAGAGAGAAAGGTGTTTGCCAAGCTGTTTGCCAGCCTGGCTCCCTATAAGCCTGGAAGAAAGAGCTTTAAAAACCACCTTCGGAAGTGATTTAACTGTGACTTCACGTCAGGAGAGGACTTACACAAACATTAAATGTTCTCTTTAAATATTAAAACACTCTCCCTGGACAGATTTAATGAAGTCTGGTCGCACAGCTTAACTACTCCACCTGATTGGAGCCTGATCCTTAATTAGTTTCAGCAACCTCTTGGTTTGGACATTATTGAAAAGACATTGTTAGGTCAAATTTGGTTCCTGAATTAGATTTCCCACAAATATCAGCTGATATTGAACCGATGGCCAGTGGAAGTTAATAAATATTCCCTTTCCATAGCACCTGCCAGTCACATCCTCTCCTCACTGCTCAGGGCAGCACTGGGGCCATCTCCCCCTGCCCACCCACACTGGGGCACCGAAGCCACCCCCTGCCCTGGGACATGGCCCAGGGTGTCTCACCAGATGCACCATTTCCTGCAGGGAGCAAGACAGGATTTCTCAGGCTCTCCCCATTGCAGTGCAATATGTAACCTCAACAGCATCAATCTTTTGTGCCTTTTGATTAGTTCTATCACTGTAATAAAATACTGCTGTATACAAAGAAATAAACCCAGTCACCACCTTCATCTCTGCTTGACTATCCCTTTGGGAGCTGATTCGCTCCCTCTTCCCCCACAGAAACACCCACACACACTTCTTCAGTTAAAAAATGTCCTTTGTGAGTGGCCCTCCCTTATTTTGCAGGCAGGACATGTTTCCCAGCCCAGAGATCTCTCACTCAGCTCCTCTCCAGGCAGAGTGTACTTTGTTGTTAGTGAATTCCCAGTTCTGAAGGGAAAACACAAAGCAGGAGGATCCCAAGTTCAGCATCAGCACAACAAAGTACCCCAGGCACGTGGGACTGGGCACAACAGTGCCAGGTCTGCTCATCCCCCTGTGAACTGGGAGAAGTGACAGTTTGGGGGCAGGAGGGGTGAACAGCTGGTGTGAGCACAGTGACAAGACAGGATGTTTATCTGTGGAGCTGGCTCCCAAAAAATCCAGTCACTCCTGTCAATAGGACCTGCCTGTGACTCATTTTGTCACTTGAGCTCAGAGCAGGTCCCCCAGCTCGGAGGGCACCCGGGCTGCCAGTGCCTCTGCAGCCTTGGGGTCTGCTGGGTGCCCATGGCAAGGAGGAGCTGCTGCAGTCAATGCTACCCTGATGGGGGGTGAGCCAAAAGTACCTTCCCCTTTGTTCCAGCATCGATTTTGTTCCCTCCTCCTCCTCCTCCTCAGAGCTCTCTCTGCTGGGGCCAAGACATGCCAGTAGCACCAGCACATCTGAGTGCCCACAAAGTGCCCACCCTACCAAGGTGTGCCAGCAGGGACCGTGCACCTACCTGGGGAGTGCAGCCACGGGATGCTGGAGGTCAGACCTCTTCTCCCTCCTGTTCCCTCCTGGGTGCTCCTGCTGGCTTTGCCTCCCTTTATATCCAGGTGCAGTCACTCACCTGCGCAGGTGCCCACCTGTCCAGCTGCCAGACAGCTCCTGGCCTGCATGGAAACAGGCTTCCCAGGCAGGGAACGTTGTTATCTGCATTGGATTTTTTGGAGTTTCTGGTTTCCAGGCAGATCCCCTTTGCTCCCTCCCTAGGTTCTGGCTCCAGCCTGGCAGCAGCTCTCGGTGGGTGCCACAGCTGGGCAGTCCCCTCAGGCAGATCTCCTGCTGCCTCAGCTTCCCCACCTGTGACATGGAGAAATTCTCTCTCCTGCCTTGTCTTTGGAGATCCTGAGCCCTGCAGGACGAAGTTTTCATCATGTGAATATACCAGCAATAAAATGACACCTGTGTCAATTATATTTCCACTGCAATTGACAAATCACTGTAATATCAAAGTTGCCACTCTGAGTCTTCCTGTGGCCCCTTTTCCCATCCTCACTGAGCATTTCCCAGTCCTGGGCACACAGGTCCCCCTCGGGGACACAAGCCCTGCACTGACATCCCTCTCCAGACAGTCGAGGTGCTGAGAGTGGAGGGGTCTTGTGTAAGAACTGCTCTGGGCTCCCCCGAGACCGTCAGACAGGAGCTGATGCTGGAGGGTTTGAGATCAGGCCAGACACATCCCAGTGCTGAGCGTGAGGAACCTGAGAGAGCCAGGCAAGAGACAAGGAGGGGGAAATGAGGGGAGGCAATAAGATCTACCTGCATCAAACAGCTCCATGGGGTGTAAGGGCAGGGAGTGCAGCAGCATTCCTGCCTGGCTGGGCAGAGCAGAGCTCCGGCAGCACGTGCGAGATACCCGAACAGCAACGGCCCGGCCCGGGCAATGACATTTGTCACCCAGCTCCACCACAGAGTCAATACCACACCGACACCCCACGGGGCCAGCAGGGCCTGCTGCTGCCACAGCCATCAATAACACTCAATTTGGGCCAGAGCCCTCCTGCCAAACACGTGCCTGTCACTAAGGCGCTTCCCAGATCCCTGGGCATTCCCTGCACTTTTATCGCCGGGGCCAAGCTGTGACACTGCCGGAGGCGTCAGCACAGCTTCTGTCCCTGGGACCACACGTGGGCTGATGAAAGGACTTTACACACACCACCGGGGGGTTTTCCCCCTTTCCTTTCCTAAACAATTTGCACAAACCCCATTTGACACCGGCTCTCACTTTAATTGACTTTTCCAGTCCTTTTTTGCACGGTTATGATGGATGCAGCTGACGAGTCAGCAGATGGTGCTGGGAAGTGACAAATTAGTTACCAAGAAAGGTCACTTTTCCAGAGCACTAAACTTTCCCATGTCTTGTCCCCTTGCCCCTCCAAGATGTGGCTGGTTGGCAGCTTTCCACCCGTCTGCGACGGAGTCTTCAGCATCGGGAAGGACAACCTTCCAAATCAAACAGGGAGATGAAAATTAATCATATCTGTATTAGCTGCATGTTACCTGCCAGCCTCACCTCTTAATTATGCAAGAGTGCTCAGAAAGGAAGGAATCGTGGAGCTGAAAATAAGGGATCTGACTCCAAGTCTGCAGTGGAAGCGCCAGGGTGGGTGGGAGCAACAGGCCCCTCTTGGCTCTGGGTTTGCCCAGTCCATGAACGCAGCTGTTGGCACATTCCCATTGTCACTGCAAAACGAGGATAAATGAAAATAAAAAATCCCAGCTGGAGATCTCCCTGCCAGCATCATAATGCAAAAACCCCATCCTGCTGCAGCCCTGGCACAGTTTGCAACCTGCAGCCCCCAGAACTCCCCTCGGGTTACGGTGCCAAACCGCAGCAGAGGTTAGAAGTTCAACAAAAATGGGATGTGTGAGATGGGGCTGGGTGCAGTTCTGCCTGTTCCTAAAGTTAAACGTTTGGCATAACTGGGAGTAATTTTCCCAGGAAACTGGCAGTGGAAGTGCAGTCCATTAAGCCGTGTATCAGCTGCAGTGTCAGGGAAGCGAGGCAGGAACGAGCTCCCTGTGCCAGAGGCACCGAGCATTTGTCTCCGTGTCCTGTGCTTTCCCCTCCAAGCCGCCCTGGGCTCGGGGTGTTTGGCAAGTGGCTGCAGAAAGCAGGAGATGGGAGCCAGGCTGAGTCTGGCTCTAAATTCCAGCCCGAGGCCTCTGCAGTGGTGGGGAGCACGGGGGGGACTGGGGAGCACTGAAATCACACCCTCCTGCTCTGGGCAAAGCTTCCAGCTTGGGGGTGAGCAGCAGAGCTCCGAGACACATGTGTCTCATGGGACACATCACCCTCTTCCCCCAGTATCCAACAAGCTGCTTGGATGGAGCTGGCAGGCTGGGAAGGGGGACTGGGCTTTATGCAGGGCCAGTTGCTCCCACAGCCCTGCCAGACCCACAGCAGCCATCAGGCTTGGAAAGAACACATCAGCAGGCCCCAGTTCCCTTTCCTGGAGCTCACAGGAATCTCTGTCTCACCTCACTCACATGGAACTGGTTTTGCCTGGTGGCAGATGAGTCCAAAACCCGGTGCAGGCTCTGCTGGATGGAACGGCTGCTCTCACACAGCGAGGTCGGCGTGGGAAGGGGCTCGGTTTGGGCTCGGGAAGCAGGAGCAGAAATCTCCTTTTCCCAGCCCAGGCACATCCTCCAGCTGCTGTCACTGCATGGATGTGTTGCAGATTTCACAGGCTCTGAATGCTCCTAATGAGTAAAGCACCAGTGGCAAATCTTAATGCAGTTTTCCAAGTACTAATGCTCAATAAACATTTGCAGAATCACAGGCTTAAACCATGTTGATTTGCAGCATAAATATTTTAAGGGCCCAGTCTTCCCCCTCCCATCCCCAAACTTGCCTGGTCCCACTCGGATTCCTCCCCATGGCTCTGGTGTAATTCAGGGTAATTCATGGCCATTCCTGAGTGAGAAAATGCATGAAAAAAATCCCTTTTTCTAATAAAATACATTTCTGTGCTTGTAAACACTTCCTATTCTCTCAATCCAGGAACAAAATAAACAAGAGAAAAAGGTTTCCTTGCTTCATTTTTCTACATTTTTGGTCACTCCTTTGCCACCCTCTCCCTGTGCTGGAAGAAGTGAAGGGAGAAAGGAGAGGAGGTGAGAAAACATGATGGGATGCAGCTCAGCTGTTACCATTTTGGTTTTCAAATCCAAGCTACCGAGTTTTCACTCAAAGGCTCAGGAATATTTTTAGGAATGGTAGAAAATGCAGCCTCATGCACAGTGAGGGGCTTTAACTGGCTTATCCTGTGGGACTGGGTGCCCTCCCTCTGTCCTTCTGGGGTGCTGGTGGCTCTGGGCAGGCGGTGGGAGAGCCTGAGATCTCCCATAATCCAAGTCCTGGGCTGAGCTCAAAGGCAGGGAAATCACTCAGCATTTCAGTAAAAGAGGTCCCTGCCCTGCTCACAGGGAATATTTATTAGATTTGATGAAGAGCAATTCAGCTTTTACACACTCCAGGCACCCACTGACCTTTTATTTTCTCATTCCCTCCTTTCTTCCTGCTGTTCCCGTATCAAACACCAGCGGATCAGGTTCAGCACTGCAGGACAACGCACAAAGGCACCACAAAATGCACTCAGTGGCTGTTTGTGGGGCTGCTCGGGCTGTCACAGCAGCAGGAGGAGGATGGATGATGTTCCTGCTCCCACAGGGGGGCAAAACTCTATCCCTGCTGGGATGTGGGGTGAGGAAAACCAAATGGAAAACTCTGACAGCCACAGAAAGTGACACAGAGACACTGGGGCCTGTGCAGATCTGATCCCAGCAGAGGACTCACATTTGATAAAATACCCGTTTAATCCGTGGATATTTTGCTTAGGCATGGAATAGCAACCTCAGCGAAAGCCTCTCAACCACAAAAGCTTTAGAGAGCTAAACACTAAAGATTGGCAATTAAGGAGAGTAAATATTAATGGAAGGAATGGAAATACCCATCATTTTTCCAGACAATCCTGCCCGTGCCCTGCTGCTCTGCACGGGCCCTTCGCATTTACTGCTCCCTGGAGCCCCGGCAGCACCGCGTGCTCAGAGCCATCCTGCAGGGCTGGAGCTGCAGCACGAGCCACACAGGGGCTGCAGGGAGCCCACATCCCACGGGGGAGGCAAAAGAGGAGCAGGAACCGCACAAGAAAAGGGTTGTTGGAGCCGTGTGGGATTGGCTGCTGCAGGTCAAGCCCCAGGCGGCACAGCCAGAGCCAGAACCGTTACATAAAGGGATGGGGAGAAACCCGGCCTGGGCTGGATGGAAGAAGAGAATCCAATTACAGGATGAAGGACACAGGGAGAGGACGGACACATTTGGTCTGGAGCAAATCCCTGAAAGGTTTTAAAGCAGGGCCGGCAAGAAGAGGACCAAGATGACCTGCGGTGCAGCACCCTCAGCCACCAGCGAGAGGAGCAGGGGCCTTGGAATGGGGCAGAAGGCAGAGAATGGGGCTCTGCAGCTGACTGGGGTGTGACCAGGGCACTGACAGGAGAGATTCTCCCCAGGACACCCAAACTACCACCTGGTCATGTTTTTTCCAGGAGCAGGGACACCAGTTTGGCTGTTTATGGTGCCATGGGGACACTGGAGTGAGGAGCCAGCCCAGCCAGGCACCAGGGAACAGCACTGCTGGAAAGAGAAAACAAGCAGGCAACCCCCAAATTTCCTCTGTACTGCTTCCCAAAAGATTATAACCCAGCTGCCCATGTCACAGCAGTCTCCAGGCTTCCACTGAGAAAACCAAAAGCTTGTATTAGAAAGGAAAGAAATAAATTGACCCAGTTATGACAAAACGAAGCAGCGTGTGTAGAGCATCGCTGTGGAGGGCTGGGAGCAGCCACTACAAGGCCCTCGGGAATAACAGGGTTCCACTTCAAATGAGATTTACAAATTAAAAATAAAAGAGCTGGATTGTTTCCATGTGCCTGAACCCCCTTTTCTGGCTGCTCAGCCAGGCTGAAGGCTGGGCCACAGCAGCACAGTGGACACTGCAGAATGAGGGTGGGGAGGGGTCTGGGCACATCCATCCCTCTGGAACTGCATAAAAGCCTTCCTTTTGCCCTCTGACTTTGCAGTCAAGCACCTGCCACTAGTCAGGCACAGGAAAGCTTGGAGAGAAGAGCTGGACATAGATCCCTGACCCCCAGCTCTCCCTGTTAACTCCTGTCTGGCTCAGATGGCCCATAAACCAGAACAAAGTCCAGCGAGGGACTGACTCCAGTTTGCAAGATGGGAAGATCTCACTGGGGCATCTTCACCATCACCCTGTCAGAGCACAGCTTGCTCCCTTGTACAGCCCCCAGCAGGCAGGGGCTGTGCCAGCGCGGGCTGTGCCAGTGCCGGCTGTGCCAGGCAGTGCCAGCAGCTCCTCCGTGGTGCTGCAGGGCTGGGGGGACTGTCTTGCACACCTGCCCACTCTGCTGCAGCCCCGGGTTGTCACCGAGGGAGGAGTGTTGACAGCACCACACGGAGCAGAGCAGGTTCACAGCTGAGCTGGGATTGCTCAGCTCCTTGGCAGGAAAATGACGGGGCCCAAAGACTGTCTGTGTCTCCAAGGAAATCCTACGGTGCTTGTAGAGACATTACCTGGATCAGCAGAGGGAGGAAGCGCCTGGGAGCTGACAGGGGCCTGCCTGCTTGCAAATACCAAGAGAAGAGGTTGGCGTGGTGCAGCTTTGCCCGCTTCCCAGCTGCTTTCTGGCTTAGTGTATCCACCCCTGTGGGGCTGTTCTGGGGCACAGCCTGGAGCAGGATGGTGATGGGGAACCTGTAGGAAAAAAAGAAAACAGGAGGAGAAGTCCCTCCTGCCCAAACCTTGTGGGTGGGAGACAGGAAACGGTCTTCTGTGCACCCTTATTTTTTGGGACAGCAGCAAGGGCACAGGACAAAGCAGGTCCCTGTGCACCCCCAGATCCCCGTCCTGGATGGATCCACCAGAGGGCACAGCCCTTGCCACGGCCCAGGTAATCCCTGATGGGGGAGGGAGGGCCCACTGAACCAAATTGTAAATACATCTGTGTCCTCCTTCTCCCTGCCACACGTTTAAATCTATTTGATCCACTCTAATGGATTGATCTACAAGTTTGTGCACACACATCCTGCTTTGGACGGGCGGCTGGCAGCGCCTCGCCCATCACGGCCTGTCAGCTCCACTCAGCCTCACCTCCACCACAGAGCGAATCCAATTACAGGATAAAGGGTTTTCTTCCCCTCCATATGGTCTCTATAACGCTCTGGCTTTATCTTTCCTTAACCCCTTTCCTGGCGAGGGAGCTCCCAAGTCCGGCGTAAGCGGCTCAGCGCAGCGGCCGCGCGTGGCTGCAATGTGATACCAGGAAACAGGGTCTTCCCAGGGCAGCCAGGGGACCCGAGGCACCTTCCTCCCTCTTCTCCTGCCCACTGGGGAGGAAAGAGCCCCTCCAGAAGGGAGATTTGGGGCAGCACGTTGCAAAACCAGTCAGCAGCACAGAGGCCAGCTCAGCACCGCCTTGCAGGCAGCACCGTGCTCGTGGCCAAGGGTGACGGGGCTGCCTCAGCCCAGCACCAGAACTTCAGCACAAGCTTCTGCTTCATGACTGATTTGTTATGCTTTTGCATTTCTCTCCTTCTTGCTCTGCCAGTTGTTCCCTTCGTGCCCTTGGGCAAGTGGCTGCCGTGCCTTTGCCCAGCCCTGGTGCAGAGCTGGGCACAGGGGTAGGGACGGGCACCACAAAGGGTTCCAGAAACCCACCTCCCCCGGGCTTTGCTCTGCCTTTCACTGAGCCCTGCCAACCAACTGTATCGCTCTGTGAAGTCAGTTATTTGATTATAATTATCATCTCTTGCTTTACACAGGACATGAAAGCCCAGAGCAGCTCAGGGCCCCATCACGCAGCGCGCGAACAAACAACGAATGAGAGACAAGCTCATCTCAAAGCACTTGGCAAGGCAGAAAAACCTGCGAGGGGGAGGAAAACCCTTTTCTCGAGGACAAACACAAAGGCAGCAAACCTCTCCTCCTGCATTAGCCAGGGCCTGGAATTTGCTGTTGCCTTTTTGTCGTAGAGTCAGCACAGAACACAACCGAGAGCTCTCCGGGAGCGAGAGCAGCCCGTAAAGTTTCCCTGCTAAGAGACACCAAATTAAAGCCATCGCTTTCCATTTCTGTGACAGATGCAGCAGGAGCCGAGGTTGCATTCAGGACACGTCCCGAGGAACCAGCCATCCTCGCCGGTGTCATTTCCCTGCACTGGGTTTATTCGAGGCCTTGGGAATCGCTCCGGCTGCGCTGACCTGGGGAGAGCTCTAAATCCACCCACCTCGGGGCACTGATCCACACCCTGGACTCGGCTCAGGCACAGGGGAGTCCACGAGGACACCTGCAAAGGGACAGCCCTGGTGGCACTGCAGGGGTGACTCAGGCTTACCTGCCCCATCGGCACCTCCCAAAAAGGGCAGACATCCTGGTCTGGATCTTGCTGACAGTCTGTTGGCAGTTGTCTCTCTGTGAAACGTTCCTGGGGACCATGCATGAAGCCAAACCTGGACCACACCTCATGTTTAGGAGAGTGGAGAGGGTCTGGGGAGCCAGGAAAAGTCCCTCTGCAGAAAGTACTGCTGATCCTTTCCCCCAGCACCCAGACCTGTCAGTGCCCCCCTTACCTGTACTTTCCTTGTACAACTCTCAACTCTTTAGGCAAAGTCAGGACACACACAGAGGTGACAGGAAGTCTCAGAGATGGGAGGGAAAACTAACAATCCCATGAGATACTTGTGTCCACATGCAAAACCTTGGAGAAACACCAGAGCTTTCAGGTGCTCCTGGTGCTAACTGCAAGG